TTTTCAGCACCACTGTATTAGGGTGGCAGCACAAGCTTCATCAAATAGATCAAAACATGGGCATATAAAACTGAAACAATCTGCAATACCACATAGGTGAGAAAATGTGTTTTGTTGATTTGGGTGAATTGGCCCTTTATATGGTGGTGGTATACATATTTTACATTTTGAATCATTGATTGTGTCTTTAAAAGCTTTTCTTATTAAATTACTGCATTGTATACTGTAGCATTATGCAACAGTACCTGCCCTACTCATATATCAGTCCAACTATCAATCTAAGATAGTGTGCCTTGCTTTAATTCTGCCAAAGTGCCTCTTAACCAGAATACTACAGTCCTGCTTCCAGCCTCTAAGGTTACTGCTCTTGACTGACCCTTGACATTTGCAAAAATATGAACATAGATAACTGTCTTAGAGGTGAAAGAAGAGCCTTATTGCTAATTCATAACATTTTTCATCAAAGGCCCCTTTATACTTTATGTATCGATCTAACCCTAAGGTGGATTCACATTTTTACGGGCTTGTCCCTACAATGTTTCAAAAATAAATTTTTAATATGGAAAAGCCCGTAAAAAGTGCCTCGCCTGCCATGGGACACAGTGTCTTGTCCGGGCTCTGAGGCAGTGTAATTGCTCCAGGGGCCCCCTCTGAACCCCAGATCCGTCTTTACAGCTTGCATTAGCATACATAATACTGCTCTGTGGACTCAAAGAGCCATGCCAATTGAAATGCAATCATTTTCACAGCAGAGCACCACTATCACCATTTTAATTGAGTGTGAGAGTACTTGCATGTGTATGTGCATGGCTTTGTATCATGAGACAGGGGATAATTGCTTTTGCAATACAACATAGCAATATGTTGTTAATTCAATGATAGGACTTAATTGCTTTTGTCTAGTTGTATCCCCTGGGCTGGTTCATGTGTTTGTGATGTTTGTCAGACAACAGAAGGTGCAGACGATAACTGCTGGCCACATCCCTTTAGACTGTCTGCGCTGTATCTATATCGGTCTCTACACAGGCACATACAGTACATGGACACACACACACACACACACACACACACACACACACACACACACACACACACACACACACACACACACACACACACACACACACACACACACACATACACACACACCAAAAATAATTTTCACTGCAAACTAAAAACAGGGTCTATAAACTACAATAAAGAGGAGATTAGCACTTGATATGAATGCCCCACTGTGAGGTGACAACCAAGACCAATTATCTTATCATTATCGGTGGATTGCTTTTGTCGTCAGATTACAAGTGGGAAAACACAGACATGGCTGGATGTTAGATTCTAAGAATGCCCTGTTTGCTCTTTACATCTCTATAGTCCCAGAGTACTGTTTGTTACAGAGCAGAACAATAGGATAGAGATCACATGCATGCAGAGCTAGATATATATTCACATGTCATGAAGACCTTTGAATGGCTGGTCCTGCTCCACCCGAAGACCCTGCCAACTGCTTTTCTCGACCCACTGCAGTTTGCATATCAAACATTAGTAGAGAGTAGAGTAGAGTAGAGTAGAGTAGAGTAGAGTAGAGTAGAGTAGACTAGAGTAGAGTAGAGCAGAGGATCCCATCGTCTTCCTGACCCACAAGATCCTCTCACACCTAGAGAAGAAGGGAAGCACTGTGTGTTCTGGGACCTACTTTCTGAGGGATAAGCTTTTAGCGATGTAACTGCACTCTGACACTCCATCCTGGATCATCGATTACCTGTGGCCAGCCAGTGAATGGCTGTGCCTCCAAGGTTGTGATTGGTGTACCTCAAGGAACTGTACTCGTGACATTCTTCTTTACTGTCAACACGTCAGACTGCTTTAACTCTGTCTCAATGACAATGAAGAGGAGTAGAGAGGACTAATAGACAGCTTTGTCACATAGTGCAGCAACAATCACCTGAAGCTCAGTGTCAGCAAGACGAAAGAGCCCCTGTTATCATCAAGGGTGAGGAAGTGGAACATGTGGACTCAAATCAATAACACTGAGGCCTGGGACAGAGCAGATTGATCTTTCTGAGAAAACACAGATCCTTCAGGCTGTGCAACAGGCTCCTGAAGACCTTCTACCAGTCTATGAAATCCAGTGCACTGTTCTTTGCTGTGGTGTTATGGGGTGGTGGCATCAAGACTGGTGAGGCCAGCAGACTTAACAAGCTGGTAAGGAAGGCCAGCTCTGTGATCAGGCTGGAACTAGAAACTCTGGAGGCAGTGGCAGGGAGGAGGATGAAGGGCAAGACCAAAAACATCCTAGATAAACCCTTGTACCCTCTCCACGGTGAGCTTTGGCAGATGGACAGCTCATTCAGCCACTGAATCTTCCCATCCAGGTGCAGACCGGAGCACTTCAGGCTCTCCTTTGTACAACACATGCAGACCCATTCTCCACAGTGTCTGCTACACTCCAGACACTCACATTAGTCTCCCTCTCCATTATCTCTCTCCTAGACTTATAACATACCTTGCTATATATGTTGATATATTCTGTTACATACTATATTACAGATCTATTACAGTATGTATTATACTACACTTTACTATATTATACTATACTATCTATACTATAGTGTATTATATTTGATATTCTATTCTATTCTATGTTATATTGCTGTACTATACTATTGTTATACTACACTATACCCCATATCTCACACTATATCATACTAGATTATACTGTATTATGTTAATTTAATATGTTACGCTGCTTTTTGCATCATATTCTACATACTATATTTTAATTATATTTCAATATTAATACAGACAAACACTAAGTATAATTGCTTACCCTTACTTAATATTGAGTACATGGCCTTTAACCCTAACCTTGACCTTAAATGTAACCCTTACCATAACCTCTGACCTGATCATAATTACCAAAACCCACACACACATCCACATACACACACACACACACACACACACCACACACCACACCCAGTGCTGATGGTCCAACACTGTCTCCTTTCGGCACAAATGGACAGAAAAGCTCAGAATGAGGAACCTAAATGACCAATTAACATAACATAACATAACAGTAATTTCCATATAAAGTGGACAAAGCAAATAGCTCTCTAATGAAGATCAGTGTTAGTATGCATGCCGGCTAATTTCTCTCAACGTCAGCAAAAGCCTGCAGGGACAAAATGATTGAATCATGAGAATGTGTATTAATGGCATTAGCTGCTAATTAGCCAAACAGAGAAAGAGGGCATTAATCTTAAAGCCTATAGTTGTAGACTATACAGGTCTAGAGCAAACTTGGCACCACTTGCTATACATAATGGCTAAGTGCTACACTTGGGGCTAAGAAGAACTCAGGGTGCAGCAAGGTTAATCTGTGGATATCCTTAACAAAGACTCAATTTAATATATATATATGGTATCCCTCCAGCTCCTCACAATGTGTTTGTGTTAATGACTGTGAATTTGTGGTACTGTGTTTTAAAATTAATAGTAGTGTTATCAGAATATTCCAATTTCATTACTGTGGAATTTCGCAAAAATTAGCTTTGTTGTTATTTATTCCTTTGAATGGTTATCAGCAGTCAAATGGTCCTCTAATATTCTTATAGTGATGTATAGTTTTTAGTTTAAACATGCTGTCTCCAAATGTGTGTTTCCTTGTTTTACTCTATGGTATATTTACAACATAATTATGCCCTACAATACCACTAATCTTACAGTTTTGCTGCAAACTATTTAACAAATCAGGACAGGCTTAAATCAAACATGTGTGGATCAGTAGATGGAAATAAGATATTTTGTGTAGTGACTCAAGTTGTTGACAAGTTTCAACACTAAGAAGAATAGACATGAAAACAAGCCAGCAAAGCAGACTGCAGGGAGAGCCTGATCCTGTGGTCTCTGGTGAGGCACTGACACTCTCTGGCTGATTGGTGTAACTGCAGTGTGGCTGGACATAAAAAGGCACTCCATTAATCAGACTCAGAAACAACTGTAGTTTGACTCGGGACATCAGAAACTGAAATTGGAGGAAATATATTAATTTATAAAACTCAGCCCTTTGCATGTTTTAGGCCAAATGAAAACTTGTTTGCCTTTTTCATACTGTATCTTCTTAAGGTATACATTTTTCAACAAATATAAGTACACTCAATACACTTTCTTTATTGTGGCTATAGTTGACATAATGTTACTTCTCGTTAATTTTGTGCAGGCGACACTTACGATGTATGTAGTAGGTTTGGATTGTGGAAGAGCCCATATCTTGTTGATGTTATGTTGGTTTGTGTTTGTATTAATTGATCATATTTACTATTATTTTATGTATTCTTTTTTTGTTTCAATATCAGTTCATTTCCATGTTTTTGTATTTGTAGTTAAATGGGCCTATGTGTGTGTGTAAAACATAAAAATAACAAAAAATAATTTCCCAATTAGGTATTAATAAAGTATATCTTCTTCTTCTTCTGCACAATATTCCATATCAATCACATCTGTATAAAAGCTGTATACAGCTGTATATTGTGTACATACAACTCTTATTCTATTTTTTTTTACTATAATTTGGGTTTCTTCTATATTTCTTTATTTAATGTGTACATTTCTTACCTGTTATGTTGTTCTGGAGCTGCTGTAGCAAGTGAATTCCCCCAGTGTGGGATCAATAAAGTCTATATTATGTTATCTTATCTTTTATTATATTCAAATGAACTTACAGTGTGCATTTTAAAAAAGTGATTAAAACTTAATCTTGCCCTTCAGTTGTTCAGAAAAGGTCGTTTTGTTTTATTTTTAGACACCAAAAGTGAAATAAAGTGCCCCGCTAGAGGGCGCTGCTCTTGAGGACGAAAGCATCACGTGATCATTGATCCGCCAAGTTTTGATTGTAAACACAGCGGAAGTATGGCGAGTGGAATTTCAAAATAATGTACATCAAATCGCAAAAAAAAAAATCTATACTTGTTTTCGAAAAGTTTTAACCGGAAGTTTGTTTTTGTGCTTCTTGACGCTAATTGCAGCCAAAGAAGAAGAGAGTTTGTCGATAATACAACAAAGCTAGGTTACAGTTGCTATGAGCCTTCAGTTCAAAGACACCGATGTGGCTGATACAGTCGAGAAACTTAAGCGGAAATATTTGGAAAGGAGGAAACAGGTTTGAATTTAACAACAACTTAAAGTAATGTGAGTCTGATAACTTCATGGTAACCGGTTGAAGCAACACATAAGTTGGGCTACTGTAACCGATAAGGAGACATGAACGCCGGATGTCTGTTTACCCTGCAGGGTTAAATTAACTGTCAGCTAAAAGGAAAAACCTTCACATGAAACTTGAATAAGCTACAAATGTGTTGCTCTGCTCGCCTGTTGTGAAAACATTGAATGCCCGCCGAGCTAAATGAATAAAGTCCTGTTCTGTGTTGTTCTGACTTTAAGTTGCCACCGTCTGAAGGCATTACTTCAGGAACCAGAGATGGTAAGTGCACTTCACACAAGCCCCCCCACATGCTCAGAATAACCACCTGCGAACAGGGGATTGCTTGGCATGAATACAAAATGAGACACATTGAATTTATATGCCTAACATTACTTTATGTTAACTATTTTAGAGGCAGCCAGGAGATCCACGCAGCCAAGGAAAGAGCTTAAATGTTACAGCAAAGCTTTAGATGAGTTGTTCACAGCAGTTGCCAGCCACCCTGACCAGTAAGTCTAATGAGATGACCCTTACAAATACAGTTGTTTTATGTTTATAATGGGTATTATGCCTTGATAAAAATATGTTTCTGTATTTTCTAAGGTTTGGCAGTGATCTATATGAGGACCTGAGTGGGGACTTTACAGCGGCCCCTCTTCAGGACTCTCAGCTGCTGTTTACAGAAACAGGTGCCAGTGTTTGTACTCTCTGAGATAGAAGAACTGACCACCTTATAGCAAACTCAAGGTAGCAGACGCAGAAATAATTTCAGGGTTCCTAACTTCCTGAAGAAAATCCATTTGAAGCATAAGTCACATTGATATGATTGCAGTTTTAAAATGAATGACTTGACAAGATCATGAATAATAAAACAGGCCTCAGTGATTAGTCCTTGAATTTCACAAGAGTCCTTGTAATTTATTTACTTAATTTCCTGTTATTGCTGAAATTTCTGACTTTTCCTAACAGCCTCTGTTATAGGTAGATAATGAGCTAGCCTGGGGCTTACCTCTATTATACCTCCATTTGTCCAGATGTGACCTTGCCTTCCTGTCTGGATGGTAGCCCTGGGTCCCCAGAAAGTGAGACCGATGGGAAGGTGCAGAGAGCTTGCCAACTCCCTGACTCGTGCCGTTCCTCTTCTTTAGTACTAGCATCGGTGTACCAGGAGATGATGACCATCTACGAACAACTAAGGGTGAGAGAGAAATGAGGGGTTATCAGTAAATCCAGATCCAAAACTGAAAAAGTGACAAGATATTTGTTTCATGAGAGGATACTTTCAGTGGTGTGTCCAGTATTATACACTCACCGAGAATAATGTAATTTCCGTACTTGTATTTTTTGATTCCAAAGAGTCGCTTTGAGTTTTAGAGTCAAGAGTTTTGTTTTGGGTTAGAAAAGAAATGTGGTGTGTATACAGGCAGAGCGACAGAGCCAGCAGCAGTGGGAGAAGGAGCTGCAGGAGCGAGAGAGGAGGCTGAAGCAACAGGAGGATGCCTTTGGGAGGCTGGCCGGGCTTGAGGAGATGCTACGCACTCGGATAATAGCTGTAGAAGAGGTCAGACACACATAGACATCCTTCCAAATCCAGTAATCAGACTAATTTAACACTAATCTCCATCATGGTCACTAAGGACTTGCCACAACATGAGGGGATGATGCAGTATCGACCTTGTATCAGTGTATTGTATAACTCAAGTGTTCAAGCATTATTAGTGTGGTTGCACCGTTCATTATGTGTGAATGTGTGTGGATGTGTCACCAGAAACACCAGCAAGAGGTGAGCCAACTGCAGGATCTTCTTCGAGAGAGGAGCAAGGAAAACAGGAGGCTCAAGTCCAGCTTCGACACAATCAAGGAGCTGAATGACAACATGAAGAAACAGGTTAGAAGTGTTCTCACACAAGCCATGCAAGCCCACAGATTTTTTTTAACACTTCATATGATTAAAAGCTCAATATGAATGAAAGTCTTCATTTTATTCGTGTGTTTAAATATGTAGACTTTAAGATCTAGCTGTGAGCTGAACATTAACTGTTATATGTTTTACTTTGGGAGTAATATCCAAACTAATCCTGACATCCACTCAGAGTAGAAGGTTCATACCAAACAGTTAGTACCATGGACCACAGGGGGGCGCTATGACATAACCCTCTTGTATTCGGATGTTGAATAATACAACAGTGTTATTCTAGCTGTTTAATTAAACCTTGCTTGCTTCAAAAACACACACAGAAAACAAAATTCTGCTTTAAAAAGTAGGCAGATTTGTTGGCATGGAATTCAACTAATTAGGGAATGTTGTTTATAGGCAGGGGTCTTGGATAGCAGATTGACACTGCGTGTTTTTTAATCAACAGTTGAATGAGATCAGTGAACAGAATAAGAAGTTAGAGAGCCAGTCAAAGAGGATGCAGGCCCGACTTGAGAACCTGCAGGTAAGAATGTATTCATTGTTTTTTAATAACAAGAATCAAAGCCAGGTTTCTATGGAAAACCCATAAATTCTTTAATCAGACAATCAGGCCTTACCACACTATAAAAAAATAATTTCTTCTAGCGAACAAATGTTCTTTCATACATTCATTCATTGACTTATGAATTGTTTTCAGAGGAAATACGAGCACAGCGTAGCATCAAGAGGCTGTCAGAAAATGAGCGTTAAGAGCACTGAGTGTGTCAAACCATCCAAAAAGGAGAAAGCTGCTGCCTCTGGAAAACCCACCAACAAGGTACGCCCACAACCCTGTGTGTGTGTGTGTGTGTGTGTATGTGAGTTTGTTTGTTTAGGAGAACATTCAACTAACAAATCAGTGGGATATATTGTCTGAGGCTTCATTACTTTATTTGTTGGTGTGTGTTTATGGAAAAAAATCACTGTGCACATCATTTAGCATGGTTAGACACACACTCACACACTCGTTTACACATAGCTAAGCTGGAAACACTACAGCAGTCCTTCTCCACAAACCACACTCGTGCTGCCAGCTGACATGATAAATCATAGTTTGGGATTCTGTTATGTTATCATTGCTGTTGTCGATGAAGATGGATAATCAGTGGATGCAGTTGAGCTCTGAGCTCACTCATACAGCTGCACTTGTCATTTCAGGGATGTTTTTTTTTTTTTTTTTGTCTTTCCCTATTTGGAGAACACTGACGGAGCCAAACTTTCATTTAATTATCATACTTTTTCACAGTTTAATTAACACCTTTAGGCTCCCTGGTGAAATCACAGTCATGATGTAATCTTCACACTTTCCTGAATATGCCTTTATCTCCCATGGCTGAACTTCAAATAGAAATAGTTATACATTCTAGTCATGTTTCTTTAAATCTTGACTTCTTCGCATCACTTAGATGCTCATTGTGAGTCCATGCGGGACATATTACAGAATTTAGATCAAGATGTGACACTGACGTATGATAAAGGTATAATTGAAGGTCCCCTCCAGGCATGAATTAAGAATGAATTGTATACAAATAGCCTGCTTGGAACAATAATGTGTGGCTCAGAGAAACATCTTCCCTCTAGTGTTAGACTGCACATACATCTTTCTGCACAGTAAAGCTCAAACATCCAGCTGTAGGAACAGGAAGAAACTGATATTTTTGAGTGGAGGGGGACTTTAAAATAACAATTATAACAAAAGTCAAGATTTTGTGACCAATTACGCTTCAGATGACTGCTTCAGCAATCGTAATTTAACCCTTTATTCGTTCATCTTCCTTCTTTCAGGGCAGTCCCACCTCACTAAAGCTCCTGGCCCTTCTCCTGGACTGGGTACTTGATAGACCTACATTCTCCTCAGTTGCAGGAAACAAAGGGAAAGGCGTCAGCCATTGTCTGCCTCCAGAGGTCTTACTCAACGAGAGATGCCTTAAGGTGGCGTGTTCACTGTAGCCTCGCTGTGATCTCTGTTTTTTTGTTACAACTGTATTTCAGTGCATATTTTGGTGTCATGAGCACAAAAGAGCAATAGATCATAACAGATTAACAGGTTTTTTTTATTGCGATCAAAGTCATCATAAATTGTTTTTGGTTCCTTAGGTGCTGCCGTTATTAGCAGATCAGCTTCATCACAATCCCTTGTCAGAACCTGAACTCCTCCTCAACCTTCTTCGCCTCATCCACTGGGCTTTGAGACACATGGACAGCAGTACACAGGTATACTGAGTACTTTGTGTTTTTTTTTTTCACCAACTTTCACCTCTGGATTTTAGGACCCAGGCTGTGACAAATCCAAAGAGCAGTATATGTGATGTGCAGGAAATGTTCCTGTTTCCCCGACAGCCATTTCTATTGTAGTGACTGTGGGCCAAAAAGTAATTTGTAGGCCAGATGGTTTCACATGACCTGCAATCATTTTGTGGTCACTACATCAAAATTGCAGCAGTCCATCACAGTTCCATTTCATAAAACCTTTCGGGGAGTAGCCGCTATGAACGAGCCACGTCACCAGTCAACACATAAACCTGTTTACTGTACATACTGTTGAGGTGGCTGCCTTCAAAAATGTGAACAGCTATTGTCTGAAAACGTCTGGTTTTCCATGTGGCTGCCAGAAGGAGCATTACTCATTAAAATAATTTTTCTCTGGAAAAATAGTTGTTGGATATCTACCCCTTTCAGCAGCATTAAACTTGTTTTGTATTAGATTATCTATGCTGTCAAAAAGTAGCAACACAGGGGAGTGTGATTGCTTTCTTGCCAATTCTGTGGCTTTGCACCTACCTTAGTAATTGGTGTTTGGCCTTGTAAGATATGAGTGTTACCCTACAGAAAGCTGCTGGGTCACTCTCAGAACATCATGCAGCAGAAATCAAACACGACACACAGTTTTCCCTCAACACATAGCTACACATCTGGGAAATACACATCCACTTCAAGCAGGGGGATATCCGCTGTATCACTACATCTCCCTTCACAGCACGGCAGTCTTTAATGTTTGGAGGTCCTGTCGAGTTGCATCTTGTGTTCGGATGAGAAGCGTGGTTATCTAAAGCCCCCCTGCCTGCCTGTCTCTGTGTGTTGAACAGAGTCTTGGCATTACAACGGGCTGTCCCTGTTTCTGTAGCTTTGATAAGAATGTGTATCCTGCTCCATTATACAGCCACATGGCTATGAGCCTCTAGAGGGCCCCCCATGACCGATACTGTACATCAGCCTTTGCTGGTTGAATTGGAGACAGGTGGAGTAAATGTAGCTCCATTACCCAGTCCCACTTTGCAGGCTTATTTTATTGTGAATACTAAGTACCTTTAACCTATACCTTTAGCTTATTGTCCAACATTGCAATCCTGACTTCACCGTCTGCCTCTGGCCCCATATTCTCTACCCTGAGCCTCCGACTTCCAAGCTTTTTTTAGCGCTGCTGCAGGGTGCTTGCCCCCCCCCAAATGTTTGTTTGTCAGGCCATGTCATATCTGCTCAGTGACATGCTTGATGCTCAACTGGAATCACATGGTGCCTTATTGCTGCAATATGTGTTCACTTTTAAGACAAAAACCAACCTCTATTGGGCCACAGTGCATAAATGGAAGAAGGCAGATAACTTGGGGTCCCTATGGAGCGAGGGATGTAGTGAGTTTGAAAACCACCAGCTTTTCAGGGCTTTGGAAATGCATAAATCTTGGATAGTAGCTATAGTTTACTGCGCTGATTTATTGGCTCCATCAGTTATTTGGAGAAGAAGCCTGCTGGCTGCCTTTCAGGCTGACCTTCTATTTTCTACACTGGCGTTTGATGAAGATCATTGTAGGCATATCATTCCTTTTATTTACAGTTATATAACAAAACTAACTGAGTGCAAGCACAGTCATGAATTTTGTGCAATGACCTGTGTGTGTGTGTGTTTGTGTTTATTTGTACAGCATGTAGCACTATCTGCCACGGTGCGGCGGATAGGAGAGGAAGTATCAAGGCTCCCAGCCCAGTCAACAGTGGCTCAGTCTGAAGATCAAGACCTGCCAAAGTTCTGCAGTGGGGAGGCAAGTGGACCCTACAGGAGCTGGCCTACTTACCGAAGCCCCTGTCCTCACACACGCATCCTCTCCACCCTCATCATCCTCCGCACTGTCACACAAGGTAATAATACTGAACACACATACTGTACAAACAGGTGTTAAGTTATAGAATAAAGCAGGTTAGTTAAATGAGTACAGTTACAAATACTTTCCCAATGTCTATGACCAGTTTGTAATGTGCTCTCCCTGTCTGTCACTAAGACAAGTTGACTTTACAAAGGAAACAGATAATAAAAAGAAGAGTTTTTCTGGAAAATGATGAAACATTTGAAAACTTTTTATAATTCACTTCAATGTATTACACTTAATACGTGTTTAGTAATAATAATTTGATTAATCAAATAGCAGATTTTCAAAAAAGTAAAGGTACTCATTTTAGTTGTGGTCGTTTACCTGTCCTGCACGTAGCAAGACACATCCATGATGCAGTGATGTCACGGCACTGATGGCAGCCTAATTCAACTTGTGCGTCGTCGCCATAATCAGAGCTAGAAAATGTGAGCGGTGCATCTGTTGTTACTTGTCACTTCCCACTACGCCGGCCCCCCACGTGCGTAGGTGTGAATCCACAGAAACAGCAGGGTGTTAAAACGTGTAACTGAGTGTTTTGTTCTCACACATTCTTAGCATGCTGTGTAAACTCCTTACTTCACATCTTAATTAAAATTTCCATGTCAGTGCTAATACACTGCTGCTAACAGTCGTCCTGTTTGTCTATTATAGTTGATGGAGCGCTGCTGGCCAGCAACGGTTGGAACATTTTTGCATATAAAGCGTTTCTGGCCACGCTAGCACTGTGGCACAAATGTCAATCAGTCCTCCAGACTGACATATCTCAACAACTACTGAATGATGAAAGTTTGTACATACTCTGCTGATAATAAGAAAATTCTATTATTATGATGGATGATTATAATTTATTTTGAATTCTTATACAAAAACTATTGATGGAGCCTAAATCAACTCGACAGCAACTGTTTGTTTTTGTTGTGTCAACAATAGTGATGTCAGTTAGATTTTGTTAGAACAGAGCTATGGAGAAGCGGGGGTCTTTACAAATTGTGAAAAGAAAACATTTCATCAGGAACTGATTTATGAGAAGAAACTGCTGCACCGCAGATCCGTTGACCCCTATTTATGTCTATCTTAGAATTTTGTTTTTTTTAACAAAGAACATTAACCTCACAGAGCTGCTAGTGTGGCTTTTACAGATATTTGTAAAGGACAAGGAGCTTTTAGCTACATCCATATTTTGTTGCCCGGCCCTGGCCATACTATAAATCTTAGTTCACACAGTGGGTGCAGCCTAAATATCCTGACATATTCTCCTCTGAACTGACCTTTCATCTGCGTGTAATGCTCGAGGGCTCCCACACTATGTCTCTATATAGACTGTTTTCTGTCAATCTGCTTACCAGGTTTGCTTTCTCCCCTTCTGTGGATTGACACGAAACCAGATTGAGCATAATGGAGAGATGTTTCCTCCCTCTCATATTTTCTGGGCCTTTTCACATAATAGGTACCATTCTAAGACAGACTAACCAAAATCAGTCCAAAACAAAAAAGAAAGCTTTTATCCCATGTCAGGATGTATAAATTCAACACTTTGGGACATTTGAAAAGCATTTTCTTAGAACTTGAGAAATTCTCAGAACTATTTGAGATGATCACATTTGAATTTGTCAGGCAAAATGGTTTTTGGACTGCAGGAGAATGGCAGGCTTTAAGGCCAAAGTACAATGGTGGAGTATGAGAAAGAAAGGAAACACAGCTTGGATAGTTGGGATATGATAGGAAAGGGTAGATGGAAGACCGGTTTCCCATTACTAAACAGGTAAAACTCTAAGAAGAATATATACCGGTAGTACAAAGTTGAGATTAGAACTGCATTTTTCCCAGATAGCGCACCTGGTAGAGCTGGCAACCCGTGCACCAAGGCTGAGTCTTTGCTGCAGTGGCCCAGGGTTCAAATCTGACCTGTGGCCTTTGTGCGTTATCCCCTCTCTCTGTCTCTGTCTCTCTCTCTCCCCATTTCCAGTCACTATCAATTAAAGGCAATAAAAGTTTATAATATTTATAGTTGATTATTTAATTAGTTCAAAATATATAGTTGAATATATGGTGGTTGATTTATTGATATTTCACATGATGGTAAATTGAATATTTCTGGGGTTTGGACTCAGACAAAACAAGGTAGTGATAATGTGATGGGCATTTTTAACAGCTTTCTGTTGTTGTTTGTTTTTTAGACAAGGCAAAGTCGAGAAAATAATCAGTAGATTAATTGATGGTGAAATTAACCATACCAGCAGCCTTAGATTAGATTTTTCTCTAGAAATGTTTGTAATATAAAATCATTCATAATTTAGCTTATATTCTTATTCTAGCACTATAGTTTCAGCTTGAAGTAAAGGTTTTCTGCTGAAATACCAATGCAAGACTGAAATTACTTAGACAATTAAAAACTGAATGGAGTATCTCAGTATGTACCATATGCGTGTCTGTCTGTCTGTCTGTCTGTCTGCAGCTGACGTGCTGGCCCAGGCTCTGGACAGTCTTCACACCGAGCTGACGTCTGAGGAGAGCCGAGGCCTGTTCATCCACTATGGAGGAGTGTGTGCACTACTGTCGGTGCTTCGGGCTGGGCGTGGAGGTCTGCACACACCTGTAGATATCCTGATGCAGCTAACTGAACAATCCCGTAAGTATGCACGTGTTACATGGCTAATAATGGCTAGCGTAGAACCCATCACCATTGTAGACTTATGAGACTGCACCAAGGGTGATTAGGAGCAGGCTTGACATATGAGTCTCATTGTAAAGAGGGTTCAGGCAAAAGCATCAAACCACCACCACACTGTGTTCCATCCTGCTTCAGTAATTGTTGAATTAATAGTATTTACCACAATAACTTTTAGTAAACTGGTTAATGCACAAATTTTAGAGGTGCCGCAGAGGTGCAAACAAAATCAAGGTACATCTCAGAACATTAGAAGCAACACCTTTTTGGAGTTAAGGACTCCACCGTAGCAGGGTGTCCTTGAAGAGCTGGCGCTAGAGTTCTTGCTGCAGCGGCCATGGGTTCAACTCCAACCTGTGGACCTTTGCTGCATGCCATCCCCTCTCTCTCTCTCTCTCTCTCTCCCCCCTTTACTATCGCTGTCACTATCAATTAAATAAGCAAAACCTTTAGAAACTACTTAACATTTTGGTACATTTGGAGCATCATTGGACGGCACAAAGAGTTTTGCAGTCTTGTCCAAAAAGCTATCACTAAATTCAGTATATTAGTTAAGTTGTTGCATTTCCAGCAGTGTTTCCTCTAGGATTTTTTTTAGCAGTGGGGGCAGGCCTGTCCGAACAACACCCACCCCCCCGGTCACGTCACGCTGGCAAACGTTTTACGTATGAAACAGAAGTGACACTTCGCTGCAACACAAACAAATATATTTATTGTTTTAATGTTTCCAGATGTTTGATATCAGGACGTTGAGCTGAGAACTGACAAGTTGAACGTTGTCCAATTAAAATGGACCCACCGCGGTGACGTTTTTGGAGGAGCTGTTAGTTTAATAGTTGACTTGGAAGAAAGCGAACATTTTGACAATAAGCTACATCAACACAACAGTATGTGGAGTTACACTGGACAGCCCCAATAACCTCTGAATAGTTCTACTTGTTGTTAAATTGCAATGTGAGCGGCAGCATTATGTCGGCAGGATCATTTAAAAGGCAACCGTGACTACATTGTGCGTTTAACAGCGGTGGGCCGCCACTCCAAAATCAACATAGAGGAAACACTGTCCAGCCTGCCCTAGCACCTCAATTGTGGCCTCAAGAATCACCTTTAAAATTACACAATTCACTTTGCCCAGGAAACTGTCTGTGCTTGACATAGCCTTGAAAAATGCTCTGATCACTCTTCTAGCCCAGATTTATTGCCTGTCTTTACTATCACTATTTCCTTTGATTTATACCAGCTCCTCCTACAGTATCACCCCATATCATCCCCACATAAAAACCACATGTGAAAAATAACGGCTCGTCTGAGCTCACATTCATCATAAGCACTGGTCAGGCAATAGATCTGGAAGCTGTGGTAATAAAACTTTGGACCTTTACCACCTCCTGGCTCTTTTCATAGAAAGACAAAAGATTTGACAGAGGTTGGCAAGGAGGGAAGAAAACAGCTGCGGCCTGTTTCCATGGAAGGGCAAGTTCAGCAGGGTTATGAGCCATATCATTTAAGACTGCTGTATGCTAATACACAGCAGAACCATATGCCAGAGGCAACCGGGGCCGGAGCTGTGTGTGTCTACATACTGTTGTGTGTTTCAAGGTGACTGTAAGTCTAGCAAGACTTGCTAATTATTGTGTTTTACAAGCAGTAATGAGGGGAGACGGGAAAGGGGTGAGGAAGAGGGGGAGAAAGGTTTACCCCTGAAGGTTGCCAATAAAACAAAACAAAAAGGTCCACTTGTACACAAAACACACACACACATACAGTATGTACAGGTCAGGATGTTTGTGGTCACGCTGCGACATCGTGATTGCTTTTTATAAAGTCACACACTCTACCAACAACACATCTTGTTTATAGCACATCCGTGGATCACAAAAATGCAGTTGACCACCTCAGCATACACAAACACACTCAGTAACAGGGTTTTACTGGCTTTGACTGATGTCTGGTAAACAGTGAGTGCATTAACTACCAAACTACTTCATACAGTATACAGTTTGTAATTTCCATGGTCACATATGGACCTACTTGGTGTGTGTTTGTGTTCTTTGCATACTTGCCACAATAGAAAAGTGTTTGTTGTTTTATGTTTTGATGGTGTTTCAGGTTAAAAAAAAACTAACTATCATGTGTCCCACCGCACCAGTGTTGTCAATCATCCTACCTATAAGGAATGTATCTGTATTTCTGTCTCCATCTAAAGGCCTGTCACGACAACTACTTTCGTTGGGCGATATATTGTCCCAGAAATAATTGCGATAAACAACTATACTGTCATTTGAAGACCATTTTATGCCACTGATATAATGATATTATAATAGCATACTAATGCAATGTCTGGGGTCATATTTTAGTTTGACCACACATCTTTAGTGAGACTGAAAGTAGACGCTCTCTCTCTCATTCTAACACACTCACATGTTAACACAACTGGTCGGCAAAAATTGTGTATGTCATGTCTATATATTGTATGATAAGTCAATAATGTAATTATTGTGATAGGTCTATCCATCTTTATCTGTATGGCCACATGTGTAAAATGTAGTACACATTAAAAGGGTAATGACCCAGGAGGAACCTGGGCAGTGTGAGTCAGAGGATTTCAGAAGATGCAATGTTAGTGCCTTTGAAACAGATATAGTGCTGCAAACAAAGTAATGATAATTTAATGATAAATAAACTGAAGACCTACTTGACTGATATTTAATGAGTTCTGAAATTATTCTCACTCAGGTGAACAATCCATTAATGGTAGACACACTTGGCAACAAGCTGGTAAACAACAATGACATTAACATTGTTTATCGCAATTATTTCTAGAATCAGTGCTCATGTTGCTCTGTGACTGCTATGTGTAAATAAGCAACTTTTTTTTTTTTTTTTTAAAAGGTGAGGATACTGAACATGAGTGCTTTGTTCACAACTTGTTTCCCCTGCCATCTAGTGGTCAGAAAATCATTTATTATAAGGTTTAAGTTAAGAATTGGTCTGAGTAATTATTATAGTGTAATAGTGTATCCAAATTGATTCTTTTTATTATCCTCGTGGGTATTTAGTTTGCAGTCGATTCAGTTTTACAATATCTTCAAGTTTTGGACTGTTGGTCAGACAAAAGAGGCACAAAGCATCCCTCTGTATATAAATTGTTCAAGGTCATGTCAGAAACATGAATTATATATAGTAGTTTTATGACCTTGAGATGTGGTGATGTTCTTGTTGGAAGAAGACTGACCAAACTGTCCTTTCCTGCTTTATCCTTCTCATATTATCAGATTCTACCCGTCTTATCCTTTGCTATCTGAACCTAATCCTATTCTTCCCCATCCAATCTTCTGCTGTGATTTGATGCCAGCAGAACCTCTGTACCAGCCAAGAAAGTCCTTCTGTGGCTCAGATTGTGTTCCCTCACCCTTGTGCGTGGTCTAAGACAGTGGAGAGTTAGTTCTTGAAGGAGTAGGAATGTGACTTTAGCAGAAACAAATGTTTGTTTACGAGGAACCAACTAATTTTAGGACTTCATACGGTTCACATTTGCTTTTATTCATCAAAAAAATTTGCAGCTCCCATCTGTGTGGACTGATGCTGTGGTCCTTTTTCCGTTTCATCTCTGTGTGTGTGTGTGTGTGTGTGTGTGTGTGTGTGTGTGTGTGTGTGTGTGTGTGTGTGTGTGTGTGTGTGTGTGTGTGTGTGTGTGTGTGTGTGTGTGTGTGTGTGTGTGTGTGTGTGTGTGTGTGTGTGTGTGTGTGTGTGTGTGTGTGTGTGTGTGTGTGTGTGGTTATGGTTTGATGAAGGGAAGGTCAGAGTTAACAGTGACAATATGGAAGCTCTTCCAAAAACAATCATCACAGAGTCACTTGACCAGCATCCAGCTGTCCCTGTCTAACTCAGTTTGATCGTTAAAGGCTTTTCATGGTTTGTTTGTGCCTTCATGTAGTTTTCATTTATATGTAAATCTGGAAAGTATGGCAAAATTAAGTCTGTAATCTCTTCAGAAGTTAAATAGAAATGTGCTGTTTATTAGAGAAATTGTTTTGAGAATATCATACTTTCTTTGCACTGCTTGTGTTTGTGTGCTTGTAGGCTACTTAAATCCATTCCTGGAGGCGTGTAGCTGTGAGGAGTTTTTCCGTGCGGCCTCCCAGCTTCTTAAAAACCCTCGCCTGGAGCTCCCGTTGCTGGAGAAGCTCTCCATCCTACTCCAGAAGCTCTCCAGCATCAGGTAGATACAGTGATCTCCAAATTGATTATATCACACACTGAACAAGGATTAACACATCTCCTGCATGTGTGGAAATAAGCAACCATGTGCTTGTTCACTCTTATCATTTCATAGTTTGTCTTAAACATGATTTAAAAAAAAGCAAAGCCTTAAGGAACGACTAAAAAACATAATTATGATTTTGTGTTTCTCTAATTTTCTACCCTGTTATCATCTCATGACCCCTCAGATTTATCTTCTGGCCCATTGGCAGTGTCCTGACCCCCACTTTGGCAAACACAGTGTAATTATTATAGCCCTAGTTTGGATCGAAGCTATATTTAATGTCTAAAACAAGTTATTTCTAGATTGTGGTGGTCATGTATTTATTTGAACTTTGTGTCTGTCATTAAATCCACACCTTCCACTTCTCAAAATCTTTAGCCATGCTATAGCTTATATGCTTTAGCACAGCTCTAGAGATGGAAATCCCTGGTCAGTCAGTCGACCACTTTGGTCCAGACTTTAATATCTCCACAACTCTTGGATAGATTTGCACACTTTATACAGACACTCATGGTTTCCAGATGATGAATCCTGATAACTTTGGTGATCCCTGACTTTTCCTGTAGTGCCACTTCACTTCATTCAAGTGGCCTGTTCAAGCAAGTAGTGTAAACCTGGCCAAAGATATCTAGTTCTACAGCTGCAGCACACTGGTCGACTGCTAGAGTTTGACTTAAAAGGAATGTGTTTCGTTGAATGTATTTGGACTGACGGGTCGTTGTGTTCATTTTTGTCCAGGAAGAACCGTCGTCTGTTTGAACTTTCCTCCCTCCACCTCCAGATCCAGGAACTTAATCACAAAACCAACCCCACACACACCTTCCTGTGCCTCAACCTCAGGTCCATCCTTCAGAACCTTAAATAACACACTCACTCACATGTGTTTCTCTGCCACATGCTGGATCCAAAGTCAAACTTCCCTGTTAGGATAAGATGACTTGCCTTGTATTTCAGTACTCTAGCACGTTGGTTGGACCGTTCTCAGACTGTAATTACCATATTTCCAACTGTACAGTACTTCAAGGCTCCATCCTGCTTTACCTCAAATAACATATGCAGACGCACATTCCTTATTTATTTAGTTATATGTTTTTGAAGTTCTTTTGAAGCTCTTGTCTGTCAGAAGTACTTTTTTGTTTTACTGTTGTGTATGTTTTGTGACCCGTCTGTTTTTATGTTCCCCAATGTTAATCTGATGTCTTGTCTTCTGTTCTTTCTGTGATGGGCCCCCGCCCCTTTTTTCTCTTTTTTTTTTTTTTTCTGTTTCTAAATGAGTGTCATGCTTGCCAAGTGGCCTTAATGGCTGTCTGATGTGCTCAGAGGAAGAGAGGCTGTGACTGTGAAGCTTTTTAATGACAATAAACAAAAAGAACTGAAGGAAATTGAGATAGGACTGCATATGAAATGCTGAAATCCATATGTTTTGTATAAACGTGTCTTATTTGTTTGTTCCAGAGCATGGGTGGGTTGATGGGAGTAATGGTCTCAGTATGGGACACACTGGTGGTGTTGGTTGATGGAGGAGATTGGACGGACTGGAACAATTACAGTCGATATTTAAAACGTACTCATTGAAAACCACTCGGAAGTGCTTGGCTGGTCTGAATTTGAAAGGGGTGCATCCAGTTTTTTAAGGCCCCTACAGCGTCCGAATTCCTAAATTGACTGCATGTTAGTTATTGTGCGAAGCAGTGTTCAGACCAGGGTACGAAGACAAGACAAGTTTGTCCTATGTGTCCTTGGATCACATATTTATTGTAGAATACAGTTCACTTGTGCACTGGATGTCGGATTAGAACAACTTTAATAACAGGATCATCTCTCTTTTTCTAGAGGGTTCTGAATAGTCATTACATATATCCAACTACTGGTTAGTGCATACCAAAGAAAGGAAAAAAAACAAAACAAACTATCGCCATGAAACTCTTTCCCTCTCTCCCTATCTGGAGTCTGTGTTTGGCTCCCCCGTGGATAAAAACAGCTCATTTTAAGATAACGGAAAAAGATTCTTATTTTAAGGTGATTATACAGTCATGAAAACACACCAATGAATATTATATTCCATTAATACCAATAGATCCTTAAATGTTACACACTTAATAGAATTCTCTGTCACCGACTCTTGTAGAGACAACGGATAACGAAACAAAAAGGCAGCGCTTTCTATGATTTTAGTTCGTAGCATTCTACTCAGTTAAAGTATGCATTAATCTTTATCAGATATTCTGATTCCTCAATCAGTTATTACATTTCTTGATAAATCAATGAATAGCTTGGCTTATAAAATGTTAGAAAATAGTGAAAAAAATTAGCATTCAATCAAAAAAGGTTTTTATGTTTTTTTTACTTGAGAGAACAGTGTGACAGTGAACCTGAAGGCTTTAAACCACCTGCTGAAGAAAACATTCAAGAACAAATATGTTTGAAATTAAATGTCCTGCCAAAATAAACACAACCTGTTTTAGATATTTGACTTACAGTAATTTGTTGAGTGATTTCAGACGGTTGGCATTGGCACCATGCATTACAGTTACAATAGATCTATTGGTAGAAAAGGAAACACGTGGTATTGTGAGTGAAATGTAAAAATAAGTATTGTTCTGTCAATGGAAATGATCAGTTTTGGAAATCATGCATGCAATTAAACGAGGTGAACCACGACAGTTTATTTACTTTTTAAACCTTGTTTGGAAGCTTCTGGATCGTACATCCGTTTTCAGCTGTGATAGAGGTGCAGGAGTGAGCTGTAGCTTATAGTTTAGCCCATTTAATGATTTGGAATGTTTATTACTCCAAATTACTTTGTTTTCTAACCACTTCTATTAATATGTGGCAGGCCCCCGGAACACATGCAAGGACAATGTTAAAAGTTCTGTTTATATACAAAATGACTGGAAAACAACTTATTTTTATTGCCCTTTAAAAAAATATTGTACTCTTGTAAATAAGTAGTATAATTTTAAATCTCCACTGGGGGTGAAAATAAATTGAGATAGACATAGAGACCAGATGAGGGAAAATCACTCAAATTCTTCTCTTGCTTACATTTTTACTACTTCGCCAACCTTCAACAGCCATAAGCAGAGGAAATTATGTTATAGATAAAAGTTCATCCTTTACTGGCAGTATTACGGAGGAGAGTATTTCTATTGCTTTCCCATCGTGGCTGCTGTGAATTTGGTTGCATCTGGATGGTATCAAATGATCAACAGTGGAACACATTCTGTACACGTAAACTACAAGCCACCCAGGGTACATTTGCAGGTCCGACCATGAACTCGTCTTCTGTCTCATCAAGGCGGATGTGGTGTGGTTACTAAAATCACTCTGTCACGATCATCATTTTGTCATCAACAGTTTCTTCAGCGTCCGTCTCTTCTGCCTCGTAGCACGTCCAGCCTTTAGGTATAAATGGATTGAAAACTGGATCTCGTTGTGAAGCCAATCGTCACTTTCTGTCTCTATCAAATCAATCAAATCTATTTTACGTTGGCAAAGCTTTAATTTGGAGCTGTTGAGCAGAGTGGTAACACATGGCAGCCGATCAGAGCCGCAACGCTTACTGGCTTAAATGAATGTAATAATGTTGGATTACCAACCAAGCCATCTTGTTGTCAGCACTTGGTACTTAGGACATACTGAGGGTGTAAGGCTGTGTTCACACCCAGCAATGCAATTTAAATGAACTCATCATTTCCTTATAAATCAATCCCTACAAATTAAAGATGACCTTAAAGTGACACTGTGCCTTTTTGACCTCTGAGGGCTTGAACTATGGCTTTGAAAGAAGGTTTCTGTAGCTTCCCTCATTTTGGGAAATCTGTGGTTTTCAGATACAAAGATGCTAACAGTCCTGCAGCGTCATCCACTTCACCTTATTTCATCCATCTCCTCAATACTGTATATTAATGTATGTACACGTAGTGGCCTCTTTATTAGATATACATGAACAGTCTAATGGAGTTCAATACAACAGCTCTGCCATAAATTCTTAAACTAAACATAAGAAACATGAACTCTTGAATAAATATGATAAAGTATTGTAAAGTCAAAGTTCACTTCCCAGAGTTCTTCAGTGCTCAGGCATAGTTGCCTGATATTGTAGAAAGTAAGAAAAAACAAGAAAAGAACGTCATTGAACAGAACGTTGTAAGCTTTGCAACGATAATGTTAATGACAGCTTTTGGATTTCATTTTATTAAGTGCACCTAATAAAGTGGCAACTGCCTGTGTATGTATGGAAGGAGAAAGAGAGAGATAAGAATATAAATACGACAGGAACACATGGACCATATGGATGGACGGTGTAGATTACAGTTTTTATGGGTTTTTCTGAGAAATAATTGTAAGTGACAGGAATTTAAGTTGAAGCAATCGACCACCTTCTTACAGCTGCTTTTAAAGCCTGAAGGTTTTGAGTGTTCGGCAGTCACTTTATATAGGCCTGTGTGCCTACTCCAGGAACTGTCGGCGGCTGATTTATTTACTTTCATGACTTCAGTTAAGTCTGGTCTGCACTGCAGTCGGCATATTGGTGTCTGGTCTGCCAATCTGCCCTGCACAGCATCATCCGCACGACTTTATACACTGATCTTGATTTATGTTTGTGTTTTTTCAGTGGACCAAAAAGTCAGAAAATTACCCTAAAGAGTCACCCTTCTCTGGTCTGGCTGGTAAACCTCATTAAAATGTTATTTGGAAGGTGGGGGGAGGCTAACGGGGGAAACATTAGCGGTTCCACTTCAGCACAACCATAAAGTCAAGTCAATCAGCGATTTGACATGGCAGACCACCAAATGTATATTATTTCCTCCAGCCGCAATATGCATAAATATGCTGCTTTAGTAATGTAATAAGCACATGGAGGGTCTGGCAATATACCTGACTGTAAATGAGGTAGTGTGTGAAGGAGTTGTGAGTGGAAGCAGCTGTCGGGGGTTATTTATGGTCGACAGGCTAAGATCACACTGGTTTCCAGATTTCCCAAATTTGCTTCTTTTATTCTTGCTTTTCGATCATTGACATGGACAAAGAGGATTGCAACTGATAACAATTGTATCTGTTAAAATGTGTCGGTCCCGATTCAGGTTTTCCATACCAAACTTGGTGTGTCCCTTTGTTTCTAAATTTCTTTGTTTTCCTACTTTTTACAATCTTTCCAGAATGCCCAGTCGACGTTTGTATGTGGTAGTAAATGGTTGCATTCAAAGCCCTTTTTTTATCATCGTGAATTTTTATTGTTTTTAGGAAATTGCATGTTGTTCATGAAAAAGACTTGAGATAACATATGTAACAATAGTCCCAGATTTACATTTAATGTAACTATTTTTGCTCGTCAGAAGACCAAACTATTCCTACTTTATGATAACTGTACCCTCAAATATTTATAGTTACTTAAAATAATTGTTCAACATTTTGGGAAATGCACATATTCACTTCCTTTCTGAGAGTTAGATTAGAAGATCGATACTGCTCATGTCTGTGTCTGTACCCGATTGTTTAGCTTAGCATGAAGAATGAAAGCAGGGGGAAACTGTTAATCTGGTTCAGGCCAACCAGCTCCTCTAAAGTTCCCAATAACAAAACAGTAAGTTTGTTGAATTTACAAACACACAAACAGCACAGGGTAGCTGTTTACTTCTACGTCTTTATGCCAAGGTAAGATTCATGTTAATGTCCTGTCTCCAGTTTGTACTTAATGCACAAACATGAGAGCTATGAAGCTATATAGCAGGAGGGGTTGTGAGTATTGCTATCTGGAGTTGGTATGCTGGCTCTGGGACATCATCATCATCCTTTCTGCATGTTAGCTGCGCAGCACCAACTTCAGTGTCAGTTTGCTAACCCATAACAAACCTAAAGATAGTTACATTACACTATATTCAATTCAATTTTATTTGTATAGCGCCAATTTATAACAGAAGTTATCTCAGGACACTTTTCAAATAGAGCAGGTCTAGACCGAACTCCTTATAACATTTACAGAGACCCAACAGTACCACCATGAGCAAGCACTTGGCGACGGGGGCAAGGAAAAACTGCCTGTTCAGAGGCAGAAACTAGGACAGATCCTTCGGCTCTAGGTGGGTGGTCGTCTGTCTCGACCAGCTGGGGTGAGAGAGAGACAGACAGACATACAGAGGTGAACAGCAACAACAGTAGCAACAACTACACTAATAGTAGTGAGTGATGATGATGAACATGACAAGTTCATCATCATCATGGTATTGGTTTTCTCCAGAATCACTTACCCTATACATTTGCTGATTCAGGTAGAGCAGTGAATCAACTAGGAGGTACAACATTAATCACTCCTGCAGCATAATTTACTTCTTTACTGTCCGTCAATATGTCGCAGTAGTAATAAACACTTTTTAACCATTTTTATTTTATCCTAAGTCCTCTTCTGCAAAGGATTTTCTCCTAATTCATTTAAAGTCAGTGCAAAATGGCAGCTCTCAAAAAGCAGCTGTTCCTTGTATTTTCATGGCTGACTGTATTTTAAAATAACTGGTGTAGAAGCAAGATGCACAGCAGCAGATACTGTTTTGTATAACAAGTGTGTCAGTGGATATTTAGTAGCAAAACTGAACGGCAGCTATGGCTGTTGGGAGCAATTTAATTATTAAGAGTGCGAACACAGTTCATCCAGACAGCCACACATTCTGATCCAAACAAGTTATAGAAAATACACCTGACTGAGGTCTGGACAGTAATTGTACTGTTTGATGTGTTTGCAGGTGACTGACAGGGATGTGTGTGTGCAGGTAGTTGTAGTGTGGAGGGTGAAGGTGTTACTGATTGGCAGAGGTTTAATTAGGCTCATGGTTGGCACTCGTTGCCCTGAATTGGCTCTCTACAGCTTCATCCTTATTTAAAGTCAAGCCAAGCTCTTGAGAGACAAAAACAGACCCTGAAGACACACAAACCTCCACTCAATGTGTGTGTGTGTGTGTGTGTGTGTGTGTGTGTGTGTGTGTGTGTGTGTGTGTGTGTGTGTGTGTGTGTGTGTTATCAGACTACAAGGCTCTTGGCTTGGGGTGGATTATTTGTGGGCAATTGTTAATGTTTGAAACATGATGAGAGAAAGACCTCAATGCTGCCCTGATGCCCCACAGCAGCATCACAGGCTTTTCCACTGCCAGGCAGACCTTTTGTGAGCCTGATTTAAGATCCCCAGCCAGCACATACACACCTGATCATTTAGCTAAGGCCTTGGGAATTCTTGGCACAAATACATAAACCAGCAATAGTGAAAGCCTGATGACAGAGTGGTGTGCAGACATTAGCCACTAGAGTAAAAGCTGTCACTGCTAGTGTAGTGGCTAATGTCTTGTTGGTGGAGAAAAGGTGGGTCTAGCACAATTGCTGTCGCAACCAAATTTCTCCTGGTTGAGAAAGCTATTTGGTATTGGCGCATGTTGTACAATTTACTGATCATCTAAAATATGATACAGTATCTAGAG